GTGGGGCAATTTGCCCCAGGCCCCGGGCCCCACAGGGGCCCCCACGAGAATATAGTATTCTATAGTATTGCAACTTTTTTTATGGAAGGGGCCCCCGAAATTGCTTTGCTCCAGGCCCCCTGAATCATCTGGGTGGCCCTATTTTGGGGGAGAGCTGAAGGGCGGAGACAATGAGTTTCTTTAACTGCTACAAAAGTCCACCATCCTGCTGCAAGGTCCTGACTTTGGGTGAGAGTGAGACACAAATTCATGACATGAACGGTTGTTTTATTTGTAAAGTACCATAGGTGTCCATAGCTCATTACAGACAAACACGGGGCCTGGGAAGTGTGGAGGAAGTTTGGTATGTATTATATTTTGTTAATTTCATTCTCAGTGTTTATAGTGCCTGGATCCCGGATGCCTACCTGTCACCATGTTCTCCTCATTCAATAGCCCACCTGCCACTGTGCCCCCATCAGCCTCAGCACAATCCTTCCTCTGAAAGACACTATGCCTCTCTGACCCCCTCACCCTGAGTGCTTTCCTGCACCATGGCCCGCTCACCCTAAGTGCCCATCTACCACCATTCAGTTGCCTCAGCTGCCTCTTTGGTTCTGTACCCACGGCCCTGGCTACCTGCCTTAGCACTGCATGCCCCCACCAATGTGCCTGCCCTGCTCTTACCTGGGAGTGCACAGTCTTGTGCTGCTCCAGGCTGACCGCATGGCCGAAGGTCTTGCCACACATGTCACAGGCAAAGGGTCTGGTGCCGCTGTGCGAGCGGCGTACATGCACCTCCAGGCCATGTGGGGTGGAGAAGACCTGAGGGGAGAGAGCACACAGGGGTCAGGCAGGCTAGCATGGGGAGGCAGAGGCTCGGATAGGACCGGAGTGGGGGAGGTCAGTTCCTACCTTGCTGCACTTGACGCACTTGTAGGAGCCAGTGCTGATCAGCATTGGGCGGCACAGAAGCTCTGACTCCACCTTGATCCCGCCTGGGCCTTTCTCCTGCTGCAGCCCAGGCTGGGCCTCTGCATAGAGGCCGGGTGTTGCTGCTGATGGCCGCTCGAAGAGTCCCAGCCCAGGGGAGCTGAAGTCACTATAAAGTCTCAGGGCTGAGCCACAGTCTGCACCAAAGAGGGCAGACTCCGAGCTCCGCTCACAGAAGAGCCCCAGGGCTGAGCTACGCTCCAACGTTGGGCAGGGCCTGTAGTTCTGCACCAAATGCCTCAGCTCAGAGCTGCCCAGGGTGCTCCATGCATATGGCTTGAAGGGCACTGAGAATGGGGGCGCCTCATCCAGGGAGGGGCAGACAGAACGCTCAGACGCTGTGGAAACACAAGGGGAGGGAGCGATTAGTGGGGTTCATAGCCACCACCCATTGGGCACAAAGCAGCACCTCAGAAGCCCAACACAGGTTCCAAAGCCAGAAACCTATCAGTGCTGCACACTCACTCACATGAGGGCTGCCTCTAATCTCTCACAAGGGGTGGGAGGGGGCTGTTACCCTACATAGCGCACTATAGGCTTAATGCATTCATTGCTCCACTCTGCACAGGCTGCCAAAGCCAGCTTTTCAAAAATGGCCACTCATTTGGGGTGTCTCAGTTTTTGGGTGGCCCACTTGGAAACTTTGGCTTGATTTTCATAGATGTTGCTCACCTGCATCTTCCTTTGACTTTGACTGGAGTTTTGGGTACTCAGCACCAATGAAAAACGTACCCAATATGTCTCTCAGACTGGGCACCTAAAATTAATGGCTACATTTGAAAATTTTGGCCTAAATGACTAGGCAGTAATGTGAAGCACACATAATAAATAAATAAATAAATAAATAATGAGCCTAGCTCTTATATAACACTTTTCATATTCTCCTACACATACCATTATGGACATGCCAGTAGCAGCTCCCTAGTTAAAAGTGTGTTACGTTTTGCACTTTTAGCAGAACTGAAATCCTTCTGTTTCCCAATTTAATGTCTGAATTAGTCTCCAGATTTGGCACCAGAAGTCTTTAGAGAACAGTTGAATTGTCTCTGTAATGTTCCTCACTTTTGCAGAGGAAACATTTTTAAATGGTCTCTTGCTGAAATGGAGATGTGTAATGCTCACATTTCTCTGGGTTCCTTTAGTAAAACAAGCATGAGCCCCACAAACTCTGAACTTCGCAAACTCCAGCCTGACAAATATTATGAAAACCGTGCGCATAAGCCACATTTAAAATTAAAGACACAAAAGAGAATGATTGCCCTTCCTGGTCGTAACCTACATGAACTGCACCACAACAGACTGCTGGAGGCTCAGATCCATCACTTCTGTTTTGCCAACAAAACGAAAACAAAAATGTTCGAGTTGTTTTGGGTTTTGTGCTTTGCCAAAATTTCCCAGCCAGCTCTAACCTGAGTTAGCAGTTCTGTTCATACCCCTGGTGAGGGAGATGGGCAGCAGGGATATAGAAATGGGCTCTGGGAAAGAGCTTGAGCTCCAGAGGGCCATGAGGATTGAGCAGGGAGAGCCAGGTTTGGAGGACATGGCTGGTCAAGTGGGACTTTTGAGAAACAGGGGGGTTAACAGAGATGTGGAGGAAATAGGCTTGGGGCATGTAGCTCAGAGCTAGGACATGAGACATGAAGAGATGGAACCCAACTGTCTCAGCCCTGACACATTGGACCTTAAAGGGCACCCTGAGTACTACTGCCTTGGCTCCCCACCGCACCAGCCAGCAGCACAGGGGGAGTCGAGTGTCTCTGGGCTGAGGCATCTGTGTATCAAGGGCTCTCCACAGCATAGCTACACTATGGACTAGGAAGAAGAGGCAACAGTGGAGAGTATTTAATTCACTCTTCACATGCTGATGCCTCCACATAAAGCCATTGGGCTTCATCACCTCAGGCTGCCTGAACAACCCCACCTCTCCCTCAGCCAAACACCTCTTCCTGCAAACTCCCACTTTTATATCCACAATTACTCCCCTGGCTCCTCACATCCCCTGTCAATTCCTGGCTTCCAGAGGCAGCCTCACACCCTCTCAAAAAACCCTTGACACACCAAGATGAGGGTGAAGATATGTGGCTATGTATGCTGTAAAGGAGGGAGTTGAGATGGAAAAGTAAACTGATGAGTGGAGATAGAGCGCTGAATGACTTGGCTCTTATTTCCTTGCTTTATGTTGGTGGGATATGCAGTCTAGAAACCTCACATCAAAATAAGGAAGATTTTTGGGTGGGAATACCCACACATATCACACACACTCACTCATACAAAATGGGTCTGTAATGCTGACACAATGGTGAACACGGTTTGTCCTGCTCTGTATTGACTGCAAAGCTGTGGTCAGTAGCATGTCAGCTCTCTCGGTTCTTCACAACCAGTGTCACAGTGTTGTCACCTATTGCAATTTGATCACAAGCCTCAGAGTATTTGCTGGTTCTCTTAAAGCCCCAGCTTCCGGAAGGATGTGATTTCATCAGCATTTCAGCTTTCTTTCTGTTATTAAAGTAATTTTCAGACATTCATGGTTGGGGTGGAAAGCTTGAAAACATGACCCTTCAATGCTCCAGCACAAGAAGGCAAATCAAAATACCCCCAGGGCCTTATTTTTAAAATCTCATGATTTTTAAGACAGTCTCTTTATTTTTAGGGGTGGGGGAAGGGGCAGACTTATGATTTTGACCCCTTGGAGTAGGCAATAGGGATGTGGTAACATTGGGTAGTGAAGACCAGTCCTGTAGAGTCCCACACACATAGATACACACCCTTCCTACGAGTGCGGGTGCCAGGGCAGAGCACCCCACACACTGGGCACACCCTCACTAAGGACTAGATGGAGTCACAGAGGCACAGCCCTGAGGTGGGGTGGGATGACACTGCTCCTCTGCCCCAGAACGCTTCCCAGCACCAAGGGCAGTGCAAACTGCTCCCTTCCCTATCCCTGTGCCTGGGCAGAATCATGTCCAGCCTTCCCTCCACCCCCCTTCTCCCTAGCCCATTTAGGCTCCCCCAGGAGCACAGGAGCTGCAATTTTGCCCGGCTTTACATAGTTCATGCAAGGGAGGCGAAGAGCCCATCCCCCATAAGGGCTAGTGGGACTTTAGCCCTAAATGACTGAACTAATAAATGAATAGGCAGCACTTTACATACACAAAGATACACACACAAACACACACCCCTATCTCTCTGCCTTCCTAGCTAAAGTCTTATACCTGGGAAAGGTATCATGCAAATTCAATAGCAATGATATATTTAATAGTATATATTAATATGATTTAAATTAATCAGTTATAGACTATGAATATGGCCAGGTGTTATTACATACATACATATAAAGAGAGCTTATAGGTATAATGTATTTATATACCGCAGTAATTTGCATAAATACGGTAGATGTATGGTATTTATAAATATTATTAGTAATACTATAAATAAATCTACTCTATGCAAATTACTATGGCATAAATACAATATTCAGATTTAATTTTGCGCACTAATGAAATGTGAATACATATATTTGTTTTGCAGATCACATGGAATACGAACATGAATCATATTCTATTCCACTATAGGCACATAGCATATGTATTCTATAGCGTTTGTGTCTATATGCACACTCTCACTGCCTCTGCCCGATATGAATTTAATTTAGAAAAGCTGTTTCTCTCTTTTCTTTCTTGTCAAGCACAGCAACGATCTTTCCACAGAAGAATAAATCCCGCCGTGAAAAATCAAATATTGTATCAATACATCCCCGCGACCTAATTAGACCGTTATTTGTCTTAAAAAATTCTGGGACAGAGAAGTTGGCGAGGGAATGGGCGCTGGGGGTGGGGGCGGACTGGGGAGAAAGAATTGGTGGGAGGAAGCTTGCTCTCCTGACACCGCTTTCAGGCTTGCCAGACAGCTCGTACCTGACTCCGTATTGATGCCAATCTGGATGGAGTATTCAGTGTAACGATTTCAGCAGCATTATTAGGGGCCACGCCTAGCGGGTCGGATCAGTGGATGCCAGGGACACCTGCAATCCCCACTTCACTCCTGGGATATGTTCGATAAGAATGTAACGGGGACAGAGCCCTCCAGTATTGATGCCCCCATCGCATAATCAGTTTCAGCTATAAAAGATTATCTAATTTTGTTAAGACACTCGCTCGGAACGCACCTTCCTCGACGCACTCATAGTAAATGAAGCGCTTTAGGCAAGTGAATTTTAGGAGGGGAAAAATAATCGTGAAAAAAAAAACCAGGCGCAGATCTAGTGAAGACTGTCTCTCCAGCGATCTGTGTCCACATGTTTACAGACGCAAGATGGGTGAGGTAATAGGTTTTGTTGGCGAAAGAGACAAGCTTTCGAGCGTACACAGAGCTCTTCTTCAGGGTTGTGTAAGCTGGACAGCTTGTCTCGCTCACCAGCAGAAGTGGGTCCAATAAAAGATTCCACCTCATCCACCTTGTGCCTCTAATATCTGGACCTGGGACCAAAATGGCTACAACAACGCTCCATACGTGTACACACTGCGGCAGGGGCGCGATCTACGGGTCCCTCTCCACAAGCTATTAGTATGCGGGGAGAGGGGGAGGATTTAGTGTTAATTATATTGTTATTATTAATTAGAATGCAGATAACTAAGCAAACCGGATCGAATTGCATCCCCACATTTTGTCGTGTGTACAATTTTATTTGCCTTGACTCAAACCCTGGGGGCTTTTAAAATGTAGAGCTGCTCCCCTATTAGATACAGACGTGGCTATGCAGTGACATTACAGGGACAAAGTAGGAATGAAAATCAGGAACAGGTTTTTGTTTGTCTGCGGGGTTTCTTGATCTTGTAAAGCTGAGACAATTTTCTACCTTTCCAGCGACAGAAATTGTTGCTCTTTGCACCGAGTTTATGCACGCACACACTTTGTCTTTTTTTCAGCTGCAGCTTTTTAACGGAGGCAATAAAAAGCTTTGTTATTTTTGTTATAAAACGACACGATTGTATTTTTAAATGAGATAGTATTCAAGCCAAAGTCAGGTCTGCATCTTCTCCCACTGCTCCGGCCACATCAAAGGTACAACCAGGGAGCTAGAGACAGAGCTGTAGCTATAAGTGTGAGCTTCCTGGATTTGGGGTGTTTAAATCTGACCGTCATTATTTTCATCTGTTTTTCAGGAATGCATTTTTAGAAAAGAAAAAAAATCCCTTTTTAGACAAGAAACAAGAAATAACTTGAATGGGAGTTAGGAAAGTATCTAACGGATAATGCACACACTCACACACACACTTATATTTACTATAGGTGTATAGATAGCCGTGTATCTACATTTACTAGTTTTCATAACACGTATCCCCTAGCGCAGTCCGATCTATCATATAAGAAAACTCAGAGACACTGTAGCAGCCTATTATAATTAGGCACCAACAAAACTAATTTTATACTCCTGTGATTTGCATTCTTCAATATTTCAAGGCTCTTCAGTCAAATTATTTTTTTATATTCACTCGTGTCCATGCTCAATCCGGGCTAGATCCTGCTCTGTATGAAGCCAACAGGAATGTTGCCCTCCGTGAACTAAAATACCTCTGGATGCATGTTTAAAACTGGAGTAAGATGCACAGGGAAGCTCATTTCTAACCCAAAGCAATGGACAGGGGTTGTCGGGATTCAGTGTAACACACAGTGGAGGCTTTCTTCTTAACAGCTACACGAGCATTGGTAAAACAACCGACAGCTGCTGCGTTTGCATTCGTGCTGGTCGGTGCTGACCGGGAGTGTATCAGCCAGGAACCCCCATCACTCTCCAGCCCAGCCGATTTCCGTGGGCTGGAACGGCCCCCGACGGCCGGCTCCCTGAGAAGAGGCTGGAGAGGAAGACAGACCCTTCCCCTGGGCTGCCAGCCGCGCCCCCTCCCAGTCAGAGACCCCAGCCCGCAGGCGGTGCCGGCTCCGGGCCCTACCTGGCGAGACAGACGGGGACGGGGGTCTCCAGAAGTCCTCGAACTCCGACGCTCTGTCGCAGACGCTGCCCTCGCAGCTGGGAGCCGAGTCGGAAGCGCCATCGACGGTCTCGCTTAGGTGGGATTCCGGGGAGGAGCGGCCCCGGGGGGGCTCCGGGTCCCGGAGGCCGGAGCTGCACAGACCCGTCTCTCCCGGGATCTTACTGTCTGCGGGGGACAGAGGCGAGAAGGGCCCTTACCCCGGGGCAGGTGAGGAGAGCTGGACCCCTCAGCCCGACCCGCGGGGCCCCTGCCTCCCCGCCAGGGCAGCGTCCCCTTGCGGGCAGCCCCGCAGCCTCGCCGGGGCCCCAGCAGCGCCCCTGCTCCAGCACCCGGGCAGCATCTCCCTCTGTCCCCGCCGCTTCCCCAGCTCAGCCCCGGCGCGCTGCTTCTCGGGGAGACCCGCAGACGCGGCCCTTGCCAGGGCTGGGCTCGGGCCGGCTGCCCAGGGGTCCCCATTCAAACACTAGCCGAGGGCAGCGGGGTCCTCGGGGCGGCAGGGGGCAGCCCCCTGGACTGCAGCTCCGGCTGCCGCTTGCCAGGCGCTGAACTCCCCCAGTACTGGGCGAGTACCTGGCAAGGGGCAGGCACGGGGCAGAGACCTGGTCGCTGGGATCCGCTGGCCCTTGGGCCGCATTTCCCCACCCCGCCTCCCTCAGTGCCCCATTGCTACAAGCACCAGTCCCCGCATCCCCCCCCACACACACACACACACTCCGGGGCCGCGTGCCTTTGCCCCGCGAGCTCCCCCGAGCCCCCAGCCCGCCCTCCCAGGGCTCTGTGGTTGCCTGCAATGAACTGGCACAGCCCCCTTGTCGCAGGTCAGGCTCTGATCCCCCACCTCCATCTGTACCGCTCCAAGCCGTGCCCGGAGCTGCAGTGCCGCGGCCCCCGACCGCTGGTGCCCGCCCTACCTGCACAGATCTGGGCCAGCACGCTCTCCAGGCGCAGGCTGTAGTCCTCGTCCGGAGAGCGGGGCTGGTGGTAGCTGTGCGCCTTCTTACTCTTCACCAGGAAAGACCTCGGCATGGTGAGGCTGCTCCTGCAAGGCGAGGCGCCTGTCACTCTCCGCGACTGCGTCCGCGCCCCGGACACCCCAAATCACTGGCGGCGCCACCCGTGAATCGCCTTAAATCCCCAGCCTTGGCTGTGCTCTGCGGAGAGATTTGACAAGCCATTGGTTAGGGATCTCCGGGGGGACCGGGAATCGGGACAGGGCGGGGAGGGGCGAGGGGACGGGGCAGGGGAGGAGCATGCGTACAGGACGCTCCGTTCACCAGGTGGCATTCAGACAGGTGGTTTCAAAACAACGCATCTCCAGACGCATCAGCCACAAACGGGGCTATCGGCTGGGGGGGGAGGGGGCTGTTCGTTTCTTAGGTGTCTCCAACCAGCTGGGAAATCAAACCCGCAGCGCTGCGAAGGAGCGACACTGCTCGCTCACTCCGTTGTTACTCAAACGCGGGCGTTACGCAGTCCTCCCCCCATCTTTCATCAGGAGGGTGGGCTGGTGGGAGAGGGGCTGCTTGCAGCTTGTTGAGCAACAGGCATCCAACAGACGCGGAGAAATAACACGCTAGTCTCCTTTTGCACCATGCTCACCTTGGAGAGCTCACACGGGAGCAATCTACCCAGGCAGTGCAAACGAGGCGGATCATGTAGTGTGCCAATTTACCGAGGTTAGACTGAGCCAATTCGTCACTCACACAATCCTAGCAAGAGACTGAAAGGCCCCACAAATATCACTGTGCTCTCATTCCCCCCTGAGACTGCTAATAACAACAAATAGCTGGACAAACTGATTTCTAACCAAACTTTTGTGAGATGTCTGAGTTACAATAGCTTCATGTGTTTATCATTTGCATGGCTGCAAACATTTTTAAAGGTCATCAGCGGCGATATTGTGCGCGGGAACAATATGGTTTATTTGCAGGCTCTTCCCTCTCAGAGACTCTCAAGCAATAGCTTGTATCGGATTGATTTTTGTGGGAGGTAAATTGCGAACAGAAAATAGCGGTGTCTTGCTCTGTTCTGCTGCGTTTCAGTACAAGGAGGGTCCTGGACACTGAGTACTGGGAGAAGGGAAAGTTTATTCAAGCACATCAGGAAAGAAATGCCAGCTACGCGCCTGCTGTCTGCTGCTGCTGGCAAGTAAGGAGAGCAGCAGCCTTCAACCTGCTGTCTATCTCTGGATAATGTAGTGAGATCACCAATGTTCATTTACCCCTCCCCCTACTCAGTTAACAATCCCCGCCAGACACGATTCTGTGTGGACAGTCTCTTCATATTTGCATTAGATCAAAGAGCTAAAAACCAGCAGCGAAGCGTAGCCGCCTCGGAGACACACTTTCTGAAACGATGTAACAATTCGATATCATCTGGACACGTATGACTGACACCGTATTTCTGTCCCAGAGACTGTCTGCTAAAGGGTTTTCGGCGACCTCAGTGTAAGTGAGATTAATTTGCTTAGGGGGAGGGAGTATAATGAAATCTACAAACTAAATCCAAACTCGGAGAGTTATCCAGGTTGGAGTATCGTGGTACATCCCGATCCTAGTTCAAATATCCGCTGCTGAATAGACTTTAAAAAAATATACAATTGTAAAAACATTTTAACTGTAACACGGAAAACCGAGATCTCTCCACACACTTGGATCGAAAAGAAACCTGGGGGAGAAAAATCTGTTGACAGGTTTCCTTTGGGGTCTCCGGGGCCAGGGGTTTAGCGAACAGGCGGGTGTCCTACTCAGATCAGCTCCGTCACATCAAGCCTCAGAGATGGGCTGACACAACACCTGTACGACTCGGCACTTTGCAAAAGAGAAATACCCCATGTCTGAGCTCGAATGCGGGTTTCTTCTCCGCCAGTGCCGGCTCGCCAGTCCTGGGTAAGGTAAGGAGCCAGCCTGCGCTTTCTATGAGGAAAGAAAGGAAGAGGCTGGATCTTGTCACGCACGGCATTGAATTTAAGCTGGGTTTGTTTTTCCTCTAATGACTCCAGTTTGTTATGAACAGCTAAAAGAGGTCCTGTCTGATTTCATTTACCCTGGTAGGGCCGGGCCCAGAGGGGAACCAATCAATTGCTGCACATACATGTTTTTCAGCAGGCAGCTCTGTAATTTACAATACCAGCAATCAATCGATTGCCCTTCATTGCTCACGCAGGTGTTTTAATATTTATTCCGCCTCGTTTATTTTTTTGCCATCGAAAAGATGTAAACAAATATAGTAAATGTTATTCAGTGGGATCATTTTTAATCCCCTGTACGTTAAAATAGAGGTTCTCTTGACAGGATCGCCCGAAAAGCAGTTGTTCTCTTCGCTACACTATTTTCAGATCGTTCTGTTTGCTAGAAACGGGTGGGAGAGTTTCTCCCCTGTTCCACCTGTTCCTTAATTCATCCTTGAGAAGGAGGCACTGTTAACTGTGAAAGGAAGGGGGTAAAAATCAAAGCGGCTTGATAAATTTGTTGACATATTTATCATGAGCTCCAGGAGCCTGCCCTCTATTGATTCACTAACACCGCAGCCTCGGGGGCCTCAAAAATATTTCAAACACTTTAAAAATCTCAACTTCTTTTTTTTTCCCTCCAAAAGCCTGGGCACGTCTGTGCGATGGGCGCACCCCCCAGCTTCGCTCCTTGCGTGCGCTCCAACACGTGTGCGCGCGCAGGGCTGTCCACACTGCCCTTCTTGTCTTTCCACGCACTCCTTCCACACACCGTTGGAAAGGAAAGTTACTTCGTTGCCTGATTCCAGTTTGTTAGAGTAACTCGCTGCTTTCTCTGAACAAGACAAATCGGTTTCCTTATCTCAGTTCTGGCTGCTGCTTAAATCTGCGCTCCCTCCTGAAAGCCAAGGCCAAATTTTCTGAGATGGCAGATAATCCCAGCCAGTAAATGTGGGAACACGGTTTCCCAAACCCACCTGGCATTATCCGACCCACCCGCAAGGAAGTGAAACATATGGCAGGAACTCGGGGAGCGTTTAACCAACTGTTCTCGTCCCTCTGCGCCAGGAAATCAAAGCAAGACCCACATTCCCCAGTGATGCTGGCGCTCGGGCCTTTCGGACCCATGGATGTCAGACTCCGAGCCTGTCCCGGGGTCAGTCAGTGATGCGGCGAGGGCGCAGGCCTCGCTTTCCAACAGCCTGTTACATTTCGGCCTCAGTTTTATCTTTGGGAAATTCGTGATTATTATTCGCCACGTGCTTTCGTTTCATTTTCTCTCCCCGCTCCCAGTTGCCGGGCTGTTATTAACTGTTCTCCTCGCTGCATAGAAAGAGGGAGCTGGGCACTCTCAGCCCTTCGCAGGAGGGCCGGGCAAAGCCAATTCCGTTTCCCTGCAGTGCCCGGGGCGCACTGCGCTCCAGACGGCTGCTGGAGAGGAACCGAGGGGGAGTCCGTTTTCCTAGCAGATCTGCCCTCTGCCACCACAGGGCAGACGTGTGTCTAACCTCCCCACCCCTTCGGGGCTCGGGGCAGGGCCGTCTCCCAGGGGCTGAGCAAAGAGCAGTGCTGGTAGGTTTGTCCTTTGCTCTCAGTGAGACCCGCGGGCCAAGGGGGACAGGACATTTCCCCCAGTCGGCCAGGGGCGCAAGGCAAGAAAAGGAAAGTTGCTTACCATTTGGAAGCGTGGCTGCAGACAGCTTTGTGCCACACAGGCTGCTAGTTTAGGTGACTTTAAATTTAGCCTCCCTTAAGGAGAGCTGGTGTTTGACTTTGCCCTTTTTTTTCTCAACTCCTTCAGAGCTCAGCCCCCAAAACCACAAATTCCACTTCCTGAGCGTTAGGAGCTTCTGCAACAAAAAATGCGTTTAAAAACCTATCAAATCAACACCAGGTTTTCTCTCTCTCTCTTTTTCTCTCTCTCTCTCTTTTCCTTAAATGAAAAGGTCTTACCGTATTCAGCTTGGCAGGGTTCGCCGGGGTGACATCCAAGTGTCATTCTGCAATAGGGCGTTTCATTTCACTCGGGGTTCTGCTCTAGAAATTACACACAGCGAGCGGATCTATTCTTGGATCCTCTTCAACTTCCGCAACGAGAACAGGTCACAGATTCAAAACACAGATTGACTCAAAAAGGGGGGCGGGGGCTGGGGACTGTGCTCGGAGGAGCTGACACAAAACGTTCAGGGAAATTCAAACCTCTCAGCTCAGCCCCCCCTGCGGTCCTAGGAGGGCTGAACAACCCCCACGGGGCAGTCTAGACGGGGGTTGTATTATGGGTCGGGTTTAAGGCAGAGCATTGTACAAAGGAGCCCTTCCCTAGCCTAGAATTAACTTGTTGTGGAAACTCTTTTGGGATAAATACACCCAGCAGCGCTGAAAATACCGTGACACCCAAACCTAGAGGTTTGCTCATTTCCCTTTGGATTTAGGTAATGGTTAAATATGGAAGAGGTAGGCGAGATTGTCTCTCTCCCCCCCCCCCCCTTTGCACAGAGGTTATTGTAGCTACAGAGTGATTCAAACACCGCAGGCAAGAGACACACACTCGGGAAACGACTGCCTTAGAGCAGCCTTCCTTACCTAATTTCCGGTGGTCAGTTTGCTAAATTAGAAAGGATCTGTGAGAAAGGCGCTTGCTGCACGCAGCGTGCAGACCTGAAGTCACCAGAGCTAGTGGGGAAGGGGCGGAGGAAAGAACAGCGCAGCGGGTGCACCGTTATTATCCAATTTAGCAGCGCTTTACTTACTTCGTGCATGAAAAACGTCCTTTAAAATTAGAGAGGGGCTCAAACCACTGCCTTCGCCGCTGCAGTTCTCCTGCCCCGCTCCCCAAAGTTTGCGGGTGCTCCGATCTGGGCTTTTGGCTCTTCCCATTATAAAAGAGAAGGGACAATTGATTGACACAATTCTCATTCTGAGCTAGTCTTGAATTCTGACACATCCCAGCGCCCTAAATCCGGGCTTCTAAGATCCCGGCATTTGATCTGGCCCTTCTGAGGTACACGATTTCTTTTGCGATGCACAGCAGGCAGAGTAAATGCACATCCTGGAGGGGAAAGGCTAGGTTGCTGCGGGCTTTGCAAATGGAGAGCTCAGATCTCCAACCTGCACAGAGACTTGGGGGCACCCCAGTCCCTGACTCCTGCTGCTCAGGGGAGAAGGTTCTCGCGGAAATAGTCAAGACTGTGCAAACACTGGCCGCACTACAGAGCTGACACTAGTGTTTTGAAGAACTGATTCAGAAACAGCTGGAGAATTGGGAGAGCTGCTGAAGATTGAGGAAGACAGAAGCTCTCATGAGCTTCCACAGGGCCTGATCTAAAAACCCAACAAAGTCAATAGAAAGACTCCCATTACCTTCAGTGGCCTCACAATACCCTGGGTCCCCACCTGCTGGGACCTGGCGTCTCATCCCCCCTTCTCACACCCAGAAGCACCGTGATGCACTGCCCTGTGCACCTACACCAGTTGCTAAACAGGTTCTTCTCTACACTCATGAATGATTTGTGTAGGTGACAAGGTGTGTAGTGAGGTTGAGTTCATGGTTGTGATGTGCTTGGAGATCCTGAGATGTGTGCAAAGTGTTATCATTAACAATCTCCAAAGAACTAAAGACAAAAATAGCCAAACAAATGAAGATGCCCAACCTTTTCAATGATGCTAAGGTTGTGACATAAAGAAAATTCAAACTTAAGGCCAACACATTGTCCTTAACACTTTCACTGCTGCCAGAAAGTTCCAGGGTGCTAAGAACAGCTGTTTTCTATAGTGCATCCATGTACTGATATGTTATCAGGGCTTCTTTTCTCTTGCTCTAGCCTTTGTAGATTAAATTACAATGAAGGCCATGCATGGTGCCAATTTTATAAGTAAGTGTTGAAACCAACCAAGAGGAAATAACAAAGCCAGTGTGATTTTTAGTAGTGATAAAACACAGGGCCAGGAAACCATAATTCCAAGAATGTGCTACGGACTCATCAATTCTGACTTTCACCAAGACACTTAGGCCCAGATTTGTAAAGGTATTTAGGCATTGCTGCACTCAGCATTGCAATACCTAACTGTTTTAGAAGCCTAAGGCTACATCTACACTTGGAGCTACTGGTGTGTTTCCTAGCTCACGCAGACATACTTGAGATAGCTCTCATCAAATTAGTGCACTAAAACCAGTAGTGTAGCCACAGTCGTGCAGACAGCAATGAACGGCAGCCAGGCCGAGTCCTGACTCACAGGATCCAGGCTGGTTTGTATCCAGCACGACTAGCCCTTGCCACCTGGGTCCCCACAGCAATGCTACTATTTTTAGTGCACTAGCCCACTAAGAGCTAGTGCCAGTATGTCTACTGGAGCTGAGAATTACACGCCCAGCTCCAACTGCAGACATACACTGTATCATTTTCAGAAATAATTTAGGCCCTTAGGAACCTAAATCCCATTGACTGTCAATGAGAATTTGGCTCTTTAGATGCCTAAATCTCTTTTGAGAATGAGAATTAGTTCTGCTCAATCCGTTAGGCATTGCACTGAGCGCAGCACTGCCTAAATACCTTTAAAAAGCTGAACCTTAACTTCTGTGCCTCTGTTTTCCTATCTGTAAAATAATTCCCTTTGTAAAGTGCTTTGAGATCCTTGGAGGAAAAGGTGCTCTACAGGTGGAAATATTATTATTGTACTACCATTACTACACAGCATTAAACTGGGTACCAAAAAGTCTGTGTCCATGTTTATAAACCAATAGTTAAAAGCCATACAAGACCACAGCACAGTCTGGGCTCCTGCACAGTTTAAATCAACATTACTTGTAAATGTGGAAAAGCTATTCTATCCTTCAAGAATGTGCACATGCTTAAATACTTTTGAAAATCCGAGGGGAAAATGACTGCATTTATAACACCATCCAGGTGTGACTGGATTATGGATTCAAAACCCTTCATTCATTGCATGCCCAGCAATTGCATTTTCTGACACACTCTGGTGTTATCCCTGAATGGGTAGAAGGATATCTGACAAAATTGGCCAGGTATGTTCACTATTAGTCAAATGAATATTTGACCAGGTGCATAAATAGCCATCTCTCTCTGTCCTATATGAGATGAACGTTTCATACTATACTACACCCATCCACAGCAAGTTGCCTTATTAGTGCTGTCTTCCCAATCTAGTAGCAGGAATAGTATATGAAAATAGATTTATTAAATCACTTTGTCCAGAAAAAAATGCACTGTAGCTGTCTGATTGTATTGTTGATTTGCTTCCACTTATTGCTCAGGACTTAAATTGGATTACAATAGTGCAAGATATTCTAGGCCCTATTCCCTCTGCTTTGCATCTTGTGCAGCTATTTACATCTGTGGAAGATGAGTGTGAGATGCTACCATTCTGATTTGTTAATGTTTTGCACCCACTTTGCACAGGTATGAGTATATGAGGGACAGAACCTCCACAGGGTCTTGTTGGCAGTGTGGGGATTTTAGCCTGTTCCCCTCCACCCCCCAGCCTGACAGAATTATGATGCATTTCTGGGGAAACACATTGCAGAAAGACCAGAGATACCTTGGATTTAGAAATAATAATAATAAATAATAGCATTGACTTTCTGCACAGTGGGCTCATGGGAGGGTGAAGCCTGCAGCTTCACGCCTACTGTGGATCATATAGGGTGGATGATGATGAATTGCATTAACAACAGTGCTACTGTAGTGCAACACTGAAAAGCTGCCCAATCATTTCACTCAGTGAGGCACTAGGTTGTGAGGGAATGATGCACAGAATGAACATAAAATTGCTATGGTTAAAAGGAGCCAAACTCGAAGACTTTCTGTGCACATAACTCCCACTGAAGGCAAGGAGAGCATAAACTGCAAGTGTTGGGCAACCTGCTCCAACAGAGGAGTTTTCTTCCCAACTCTATGTCCTCTGTCCGGCTGACACGATTCCACGGGGGAGGGGGGGAAACAATCAATCAAAAGGCTTTTACACGATCAGAAAAACTCGACATTCAGCTCAGCGGCAACAACCAACAAGCTACCACTAACCCCTAGCTATGGCCCTGTGCCTTCTCAGAGGCTCTCCCCAGCTGACTACCCTGGAGATGTTTTTACAGAGCGCTCTGGTTGAACCTTAACTTCCTGATAAGCTCTAAGGCACAGGTCCTCAAAGGTATTTAGGCACCTAACTCTCATTGGGTGTCCCTACACTGCAATGTAAGCCTACTGTTTATGGCACTCAAGTCTGCTGACCCATGTTAGAGAACCTGGGGCCTGAGCATATACACTGATGCTTAACCTTATGTTAAAATTTTTCTAACCCAGGCTCGTACCCGGGCCTCTGGCATCCACACTGAAGCATGCAGATCTGCGTCAAACCAACCATATCCCAGTGTCCCTAGAAGCCCCCAAAATGTGGCCACTGTAGCCCTTTGTCCATAGCGCACTGTAGGAAAACTTTACTGCCCACCCTGCATGTTACAGGAAGTTTGAACAACCCGCCAATACGGCCTGCCAAGCATCATGGAGGAGACCCCATTTCAAGCAGGTCTCTGGTTTGCGCTTTCATTCTTGTGTCAGGAAATGGGCAGCAATTCCCAGAGGCGCTGGTGGACATTTTGGCACCATTTTCTGACCCACCAAAGGCACTTGACAGAGCTTTAGATGGAGCAGAAGGTGGTGGCAGAGGACAAGTAACCTGGCATGGCAGACTAGCACTGGGTGATGCTGCTCCGTACACACCCTATACCCACTTATGCCCCCTACGTAGACTGGAGCTTCTGGCACAGGGCCACAAGCCCAGACTGGTGGGCTCACATCATCATGCAGCCCTGGGATGGCCAGCAGTCAGTCCAGAACTTCCGCACGAAGAAAGCTCCATTTCTGGCACTTTGTGAGCCGCTTGCCGCCCGACCCTCTAGTGTAAAGACACAAATGAGGCCACCACTGTCTCTCCAGAAGCGGGTTGCTAGAGCCGGCTGGAAGTTGACTGCCCCACACTGCTACAGGTCTGTTGCCAACCAGTTTGGTGTTGGCAAGTTGACTGTGGGTAAAGTGGTGGTAGAGGTTTCTGAGGTGGGTGGTTTACCACACAGTGGTGGGCATAAC